CACACACAGTGTATCAAAAGTCTAAAAGAAGAATGCGCCAAATTACCAAAACTTAGATTGCCAGATGACGGAGACAATCTAGTTTTACAAACTGATGCATCTGATTATCATTGGGGGGCATTATTGCAAACCAATTTAAATGAAATTTGCAGGTACACAAGTGGTACATTTAACGATGCAGAAACCAGATATTCCACAAATGAAAAGGAATTATTAGCAATTGTTAGAGGAATCAGAAAATTTTCTGCTTTTCTTTTACCAAAACAATTTGTTATTAGAACTGACAATACCCAAGTTTCAGGACTAATATTCAATAAGCTACCTTCCGAACCGCAATACAGAAGATTGCACAGATGGCAGGTGTTATTATCATTTTATTCATTTTCTATTGAATATATTAAAGGAAATGATAATTTTCTTGCAGATTTCATTTCAAGGAACGTCCAATATGGACAATCAAACAAAAATCCTACTTGATAGGATATATGAAAAAATGAAGACAGTGGAAGAATCCATTGATGGAAAAAGCCAAAGGCTATTCAAAATAAGAGACGAATTGTCAAAATTGTCTGAGCAATCTCGAATGTTACAATTCGAAATAGATCAGCTTAGTACTCATCAAGCTGACACCATGAGAGAATTCATACTTCTCTGTGAACACCTGGATACACATCCAGTACAGAATTCAAATCTGAAAAGGAGTATTATTCCTAACAAAGTGGCAGGAGATGTCCCACTAGCACCTAGTGCCAAAAACATCTCGACGGTAATCTCGAATATGCCAATTTCTGAATCAAAAGATAAAGAAAAATGTCGAGAAAATGAAGCCATAGGCTCATCATCAGCAGAAGCTGAGAAAAATCGAGCAGAAAGCTCATCCCCAGTAAAAACTGGAAAAATTATATCTGGGAAACCAGAAAGCAAAACTAACCCAGTTTCATCGAGAACAAAAGTTTTTTCTTCGTTTCAGGTAGGAAAGCAGCACCCGAAAGAAGAAGAATATCTAGCTTTCACTAGATATATCTATAATCTTCCGGAAGAAAACGGAGAAACTTACGGCGTTCTAGGAACAACAAGTTTGTTTCCAAGAATATCGATTTTTCCTAATGGAATATCGGGCTTTACAGCTCAATTATTTGAATTTGGTTATCTGGATCGTGTTTACACTAAACCAGATCTTAAAGAATTGTCCAAATTACCAACAAGATTGTTCGAAGCAGTCAAAAATTTCGCCCAAGGCAATGGAGTTTATTGCAGGTTCTACAGCATATCAATGGAATGCCAGGATTTGCAGGCATATTATCCTACTCTTAACTACATTTCAGTTGAGAAGATTAAGGATTTTAATGTTAAGGCCACGGGAGTTGACAAAAAACTTCCTCATCTTAACAAAAAGTGGATCCAAACAAGAAGAGCATTAGGGATAAAAGCTCTATATGCGATTCTAACCAAATTTTACAAGGAAGATTGTAAAGTTATCGATCAAGACAGCGATTGGGTCTTGATTACCAAGGGTAAAGGTAAGTCCAAAGAGCTCAAAGAGAGAATATTGGACATAGAACTTCACAGGTTGGGAGCCACCGAAGAAACATGGAAGTTAGCATGCAAAATGCTAGACCATGATCATGCCCATACATGATGTAGCATGATAAAGAAGACAAACAAGATGACGTAAGCACTTACGTCATAAAGCAATAAAGAAAAGAAATCCTTTTCTTTTCAAAAGGCAGGTCACATATGTCGGCAATAATCAAAAGAAGACAAAACTCTTCTTATCATCAAGGAATCTTTCAGCCCCAGCAATCATGTAAAGCTAGGACCAAAAGATAAATATGAAAGAATTTAGGGAAGTCCCTAGAAAAAATTTCTTTTGTAAAGAAGTCCCTCCTTCCATCTATAAAAGGAGAGAACTTCATAAGTAGGAGGCAGACTGGATTTTCCGAGAGAAAAACCTCTTTGAGAAATTGATAGTACCTCCATAAGAAGTTAAGTTATGAGTCTGAGTGAGTAGTACTTTCTCCCGTCTGGGAAAAGTATTTTTTTTTTTTTATGTTGTGAGTATTGGCTATGTAAGTATAGAGTGTGTAAAATATATAATATGAAATAAACAGTTTGTTTCTATATATCTCTTCTTAATACTCCATAGATAGTCGTAAGTGAAGGTTGCGATCTTCAGCCTCAAGGAGGAATAGTAACGAAGTAGCCAAGACTGCGGTCGCTAGGGCGAAAAACTGTTCATGGCCTGAAAGGAGAACTACTGCGGTAGTGATAGGACTATTCATCGACAAAAGAGAAGAAAGGTATACACGCGAACTTTTATTACATATCATAAATTTTACTACCTATTATACTTACATATACTCTATTTAGAACATTATTAAAAAAAAATACTGAGTACCTATAGGGAATTTAAAAAATATTTTGAATATTTTATGACCGAAATATCTTTGGGCATATTGGCCGAAAGGCAAAATACATGCTTTTGCATAACCAGAAATAAAAAATGAAATTTTTGCAAAGATCTTTGCATAACATAAGAAAAAGAGCTTGGAAGCATAAAAAAGCTTTGTTTCATATGAATAAAGCGATCACAGAAATGGAACTAGTATATAATCATGCTAGCCATTCTTATGGAATGTTAATATATTCCATAGATGAAGCATATAGGGTGTGTCCGCTCCTAATTAAGCTAAAGTGTTATATCTTTATGAATATTAAATTATCTTCCAAATTCTTTTTTTTTTTGGGGGGGAGGGCGGGGGGAAGGGGTCAACGCATATGGCAATTTAGATCTCTAAAATCCGCACCAAGAAGGGAAAATCGTTGAATCTTTTAATTTGCTTGTATTGTTCGCTTTGTGCTAGGCGCACACAATTTTAAAATATTGTATAAAATTATTTTCGCTTTCCAACTTTGCTGTAAAAATTAAACTTCATTTCAATTTTAAATAACTACTATTGTGCTCGCGCGTTGCGCGGTTAGTTAATAAATGTAATTTTAAATATTAATTTATTGACAATTTTAAAATTTAACTTATTATTAAATAATATTATCAAATAAATGCTTCACATTAAATATGTATACATAATAACTTTAACAATATATTAAAATAAAAAATAAAAAATAAAGATTCAAATCCAGGGAATTAAACACCAATCATCCTGCAAATAAAAACTTCAAATCATTGAAAGTTATAAATAAAGAAAAAAGGAAAAAAAATCATCAAAAACTAATGGTTTGCAATAATTATTGATAAGAGATTTTAATGCTTAAAAAGTTGCTATATCTATATATCAAATCTCACTGATAGTGTTAATTCTAAGTATGAAGTTGATTATAGTGACTTTGTCTCAACAACTACAAAGTCACATCCAAAGAAGAAGGAAAAAAGTTATATTGTCAAAAGAAATTTATGCATAAATAGAAATAGAAAACTGAAATCGTATTAATGTGATAGATTTGATCTATCAAGATGAGACGAGAAGAAGAAGAAGAAGAGAAGAAGAAAACGAAGATGACTTGAGAGAAAGAATAACCTTGTAATTCTTATTATTCAGTTTTTTAAAAAATAAAACTTATGAGTACACTTATATAGAACTTAAAAGGAAACTAATTCTAACTAACTATACTAATCCTAACTAACTATCAATCTGTTAATTAACTAACTTTCAAGAAGTTAACTAACTACTCTAAGTGACTCCTTTAATACTCCCCCTCAAGTTAGGTACTCTAAAAATGTTTTGAATACCTAACTTGGAACTCAACACTTCATGCTGCATTCTGGCCAAACTTTTAGTTAACAAATCTGCAGGCTGTTCATTTGTAGGAATATACTTAGTAGAAATCATTCCTTGCATAACCTTTTCTCTAATGAAATGACAATCTATCTCAATGTGTTTAGTCCTTTCATGATAGACTGGGTTTGCTGCTATTTGTATAGCAGCCTTACTGTCACTATAAACATTAACTGAAAGAGTAACTTCTACACCAATCTCCTTTATTAAACCAATTATCCATACCAACTCTGCCACCGTTGAAGCCAAGCTTCTGTATTCAGCTTTTGCTGAGCTCTTGGAGATAGTTGTTTGTTTTTTAGACTTCCAAATGATAGGAGAGTCTCCTATCTTAACTACATATCCAGTTACTGACTTCCTATAATTTGGACATGCAGCCCAATCTGCATCACAATAGGCTGATACCTTTATGTTCTCATTGCTAGACAGTAAGACTCCTTGTCCTGGTTCTTTTTTCAGATACTTCACTATTCTAAGTGCTGGTTCCATATGAGACTGTTTAGGAGCTTGTAAATATTGACTCAGAGTCTGTACACAAAATGAGATATCAGGTCTGGTCATAGTGAGGTATAGAAGTTTACCTATAAGTTTCTGATAAGACCTTTGATCAGCCATAGGTTCTGCTTGTGTTTTGAACACATGATCATCATATTCCTTTGATGTTAACTTAATATTTGCATCCATAGGAGTCATAGCAGGCTTTGCAGCTCCTAGACCAATTTCAGAAATCACCTCTAATGCATACTTCCTTTGATGCATTAGAATACCTTCCTTTGATCTAGCAAACTCAATACCAAGAAAATACTTCAACTCTCCTAAGTCCTTCATTTTGAATGCTTGTTGTAAGCACCCTTTGGTCTCATTGATCAGCTTTAGACTATCACCTGTGATAAGCATATCATCCACATAAACAAGAACTATTGTGATGCCTTCTGTGCTTTTCTTAATAAACAAAGAATGATCCTGTTGACTTTGTTGAAACTTGAACTTACTAAAAATTTAAAAAATAAAAAAAATAAAAAATAAAAAAATAAAAAAATTAAAAAAATAAAAATTAAAAAAATTAAAAAATTAAAAATAAAAAATAAAAATAAAAAAAACAAAAAAAGAAAGAAAATAACAAAACAAAACAAAAAATAAAAAACAAAAAAAAAACTGAATAATAAGAATTACAAGGTTATTCTTTCTCTCAAGTCATCTTCATTTTCTTCTTCTCTTCTTCTTCTTCTCGTCTCATCTTGATAGATCAAATCTGTCACATTAATACGATTTCATGGTATCAAAGCTATCGGCAACTGGTTAAGCTGGTTGAAAGAATCGATCCGCACGTTTGATCGAAAGTTGTTTAAGTTTGGTGAGAAGGAATTGAGAATTCTTTGTAAGCTTCAATGGCGGTGGAAGAAGATCAATCTACACAGCCACAACCATCTGAATCTGGTCAGAAGACTGGGATTGACTATAATCATCCACTGTTTCTTTCCCCTGCTGATGTAAGTGGTACACAAATCATTTCGTTTCAATTAACGGGAGTTGAAAATTACTCAATTTGGTATAGGTCAATGAGAGTAGCTTTACTGGGAAGGAACAAATTGGGAATGGTGGATGGTTCGTGTAAGAAAGAAGTGTTTCCAGAACAAATGTGGAGTCACTGGGAAAGAGTGAATGATGTGGTATTGTCTTGGCTGATGAATTCTGTGGAAAAAGGATTGCTAGGAGGTATAATGTATGCCTCTCATGCTCAAGAAGTATGGGATGATCTGTATGAAAGATTCAACAAGATTGATGGTTCAAGAACTTTCAATCTTCACAAGGAAATTGCTACATTGAGTCAAGGTACTGCTTCAGTTTCTGCATATTTCTCTAAACTAAAAAGTTTGTGGGAAGAATTTGAAGCTCTTGTTCCAAGTCCCAGTTGTAATTGTGAAAAATCAAAGGAGTTTGTAGTGCACTTGCAGAAGTTAAAATTGTTCCAGTTCCTTATGGGACTGAACGACTCTTATAATCAAGCAAGAAGTCAGATCTTGCTCATGAGTCCTATGCCATCAGTGAATCAGGCGTATGGAATGGTAATTAGTGATGAAGGACAAAAATATGTAGCTGCTAACTCTGGAATTCTAGGGGCAAGTCCTGCATCAAGTGGTAGTAATATGGATATGGCTATGTTTACAAGAAATGGCTCTACAAGATACAAGAAGAATTACATTGTGCAGTGTGAATTCTGTAAAATGAAAGGACATACTAAGGAAGTGTGTTACAAATTAGTAGGATATCCCTCAGACTTTAACAAATTCAGAAAGAAAGGGGCACAGGCAGGAGGTAGTGGTTATCACCCAAATGCAGGGGCTCATAATGTGGTTACCGGTCAGTTGCAGGATTCTGAACAATATGATATGATGGGTGATCCTTTTGAGAATATGGCTGACGGAAATAAGGCAGATTACAAAGGCAAAAGAGTGGAATACAAGGCTGAGTCTTCTTCACAGAATAGAGAGTCTGAAATGGGGTTGTATCCTTTTACCATGGAGCAATATAGTCAGATTGTGAGTCTATTGAAGAACATGAATGACAACAACACTTCTGCAAACTCCTCAGCAAACTTAGCAGGTATGAGTCAGTCCAATACTTATTCAATTAAAAACTTATAGGAATGGATAATAGACACTGGAGCTACCAATCATATGGTAGCAGATGTCAACCTGTTAGATAAGCTTGCGATAGTGTCTAGGGGAGTTTATTTGCCTAATGGAGCTGTTGCTAAAGTTACTCATGCTGGCTCTAGTAATATCACTGCAAGGACATCCTTGACTAATGTGTTGCATTTACCACAGTTCAAGTTCAATTTGATGTCTGTGTCAAAACTCACAAAAGAATTAGGATGCTCAGTGAGTTTCTTTCCGAATTTTTGTCTGTTTCAGGATCTCTCCAATGGAATGGTGAGGGAGATTGGTAGAGAAGAGAATGGGTTGTATATTCTAACTGGAAGTACAAAGGTGCAGCAGCCTCAGCCTCAGCCTCAAAATAGTGGATGTGTTCTTGCTGTGAAAGATGGTCATTCTGATCAGATGCCTACAGATGTGGAGTTGTGGCACAAACGACTAGGGCATGCGTCTATAATGTCTCTAAACAAGCTTATAGTAGTAAAATCTGAATGTATAGCAAATACTTTGAATAAGTGTACTGTATGCCCTCATGCAAAACAAGTTAGAAGTTCATTTCCTACAAGTAGTATCCAAACTTCAGCATGCTTTGATACCATGAAATCGTATTAATGTGACAGATCTGATCTATCAAGATGAGACGAGAAGAAGAAGAAGAAGAGAAGAAGAAAATGAAGATGACTTGAGAGAAAGAATAACCTTGTAATTTTTTTATTCAGTTTTTTTTAAAATAAAACTTATGAGTACACTTATATAGAACTTAAAAGGAAACTAATTCTAACTAACTATACTAATCCTAACTAACTATCAATCTGTTAATTAACTAACTTTCAAGAAGTTAACTAACTACTCTAAGTGACTCCTTTAATAAAACAAATAAATTGTTTTACACTTTTCATAATAAGAGTTTCCTAATTTTCTTTATCTACCTATACGATATTTAGATTTTGAAGTAATTATCTTTATGTAAATATTTCATTAACGTATTCATTTATATAAAAGTTATAAAGGGACTTCTTTTAAAACTAATAAACATAACCAAATATTAATTAATAAGCATAAACAAATATAACTGTTAATAAATAACTAAATGTGTATGACTCTTTTTAAGTAATTTGTATATTTAGTTCGTGATTTATATTTTTTTGATTAGTTAAAAGATCAACTGATAAAATAAAGTATTTAAATACTTATGATAATATGGTTAAACATGAGGTATGTATCGAAAAAAATCTTAAAACATATTTTAATTTGACGTAATTATTTAAAATAATCATAATCATTTATTTCATGATTTTTTATTTTATTTTTATTTAAAATAAATACTGAAAAATAAAATGTTATTAACACATATTTTTATTGATTATATGACTGTGTAGTAATGTATGGATAATGGGGAGTTATAAAAATATTTTTTATTCTTTTCGTTAACGTATTCATTTATATAAAATTTACAAAGAGACTCCTTTTAAAACTAATAAGCATAAACACATTTTAATTTAATAGCATAAACAAAAGGCTTATGCAATTTATGTACTATAAAATTTATAAATCCTCGCGTAAATAAAAACTCAAATTAGACTAAATAGTTAATCATCACTATGATTAAAGAATTGTGGAAATATAAGTTTTAATAAAATACTAAAAAATATAATTAATACAGAAAAATAAAATAACTATAGAAGAAACTTTAAAATATGATAAAAAAAACTGTAAAGAAAAATAAAATTTTCATGATCTATTCCGATGTAATTACATTTTGATTTTTTTATTTTATGTTTTAAATAGTTAATATTTTTTTAAAAAGTTAGTTACCTATATTTTAGGAACTATTACCATCCATCCATAACTCAAAATTAAATGGTAATATTAAAATAAATTTTAAATACCACTAATTGAAAAATGTTTAACCGCCACTATATTTTATTTTTAATTTTAATTTTTTAAATAAATACAATATTATAATATTTTAAAATAATATTATCATGTTAATAACTTCCTAATTGTTTGGCTTTATGCAACTGAAATTTATAATTTTTTTGTTTTGCTTTATTTGAGGAAATTGAGAACATGTGCATTTTTTGCTATTTCATTGATAAGAGTTAGAATTATTTATTTTTTATTTATTAAAAATGGGTGATTCACAGCCATTTTGATCTTCTTTTTTCTTTCCTACTTTTTCAATTCATTATTTTTAAAAAATTTTGTTAGTTAATTTTTTTCATATTTCATGATTTTTTATTGATTTTAGGACTGTGTAGTAGTAGATGAGTAATGGAGAGTTATAAAACTGTTTTTTTTATTAATGTATTCATTTGTATAAAATTTACAAAGGAACTTCTTTCAAAACTAATAAGCATAAATAAATATTAATTTAAGAAGCATAAACACATATTGGTCAATATAATTAGTTATTTTAGCCATATATTTTTAATTATTTTTTTTGTTTCTTTCCGATTTTATCTTCTTCTTATTTATTTTTTAATTAAAATTAAAAAAATATACTTATCATTTTCCTAGATTTTTATATATGAGAACAATATGACATGTCAATTTAGTATTTCATTTATAAAAAATCTATCAACACAAAATTAAAACACTTACAATAGCACATAAATTTTACAATTCAACATTACTGCAAAACAAAGAAGAAAAAGTTAGAAAAAATTCTTACAAAACAAAATAAATAAATAATAATAAATCAAAATATGAATATATTATTCAGGAAAAATCACTATACAAAGTAAGAAACATTTAATTTTTTGAAGTAGATATAAGAAAAAAGAGATAATTTTTATTTTATTTTAAGTGACAGATTTTAAATTACACAAATATTAATTCAAGAAATCATGTCAAAAAATAGATTTGATGATTTCAAACTTTATTTTATTGCTAGTGTACAGTTTGTTTCAAACTAATGTTCAAGAGTAAGAGACATGAAAACATGTTTTGTCCCTAATGTCATTTTCTTATTATTATTTGACAAAAAACACACTAACAAAATCTACCGAAATGTTTGATGGATATTTGATTTAAGCATGTTGATGTCAAAACTGAGAAATTAAGTTATTGTTATTTTGATTACTCAGTACCAAAGAAATAAACAATTATTGCATAATAGAGAAAGAACTTTATATACATTGAAACTTAAGGATTTGAAAAATAAACTTACATATGATTAAACTTTGTATTTGTTGATTTCTTATTATCCTTGAATGCATGTTGGGGGTTGAATTGTTCTCCTTTGTTAAATACTGAAATACTATATTGTTTCCTTGTTGAAGAGGGTAAGAAGAAGAATGTTATTTTGTGTGTGATTCTTTTGTGTTTTATATTAAAAGTTGTAACTGCTATTTATATTTTTGATTTAATAATTAAGTATTATGTGGAACTATTCAGGGGTGTCTACTGTCAATGATTGCAGGAAAAAAAATTCTAGTAATAAATAAAATTTTGAAGCTAGTAGGGGTGTAAGACTAGGACAAATGACCTCTAAGAATTTTCACAACACCTTAATTACTAGACTAATTATTTAACTTGTGTAAAGAGATGTCAATAATTCTTAGTACACGTCAGCTTACCCTAAGCCTATAGGACAATTGATGATGTCATCAGCTGGCTAGGATTTTCAATAAGCAAGTTCAAAATCTGAAGAAATAGACATACGAAGTAGTCGAAAGGGGTTTGATTTACTATATATACTTAAAGATTATTTTAACCATGTATAAATAGTATAATTTTCTGCTGAAGGGGGTTGGGATGAACCCCTGACAATAAGGTGGCTCCGCACACCGGCCATTAGGAGAAAAAATGAGAATGTGGGCCCACCCTCATATTTTCCACGTCATTAGTCAAGATGACTTCATTAATTATTTAATTCTACACCATATAATTCCACGTGATTTTCCTATTTTCCCTACTAAATAAATATTAAAAAGTCAATATTAGCCCCAAAGCCCATTCATTTTTACCGGCCTACCCTATAAGCTTGAGATGGCATCCTTAATTTTTCCAACTTTTTAATTTGTATCGGAGCTCGGAACTCACTAAATTGACAATTTTAAGGGAAGTACATTCTAATTAGGGGTGTTCACGATTTGGATAAAACCGATCCAAACCAAAAAATCGAACCAAACCGATAAAAGAAAACCAATTTTATTTGGGTTTGATTTGGTTTTAGATTTTTAAAAACCGATAGTATTTGGTTTGGTTATGGTTTTATTCGAAAAAACCGAAGAAATAACCGAACCGAACCGATGAATTATATACATATATTTTATTAATATACATACTTAATATATTTTTTTTATAAACAACTTTAAAGATCTTACATACATTTTCATTAAAATCTCTTTATAATTTACTTATTGAAAGCAAAAATGCCTAAGATGAAAACATTTATCTTATTGATTTCATGTATATGAGTGTCTATGACAATCCTTTGTGGAACTGAAAATGTTATTGTCTCTTCCTTCTAGGCCAATATAGTGAATTTTAAAGTTTTATTGATAGTAAATTTAGTGATTGAAAGTTTAGCAATTTAAGTCATTCTAACTATTTTTCGTTTTGAATGGATTGTTGTCACCTTTTTTCACTATTTTGAATGAATTGTTTCTTTTATTTTTGTGTATGGTTAATAACCGAATAACCGAACCAAACCAACCGAAATCGATAACACCAAACCGATAAATGTATATTATATTTGGCTTGGTTTGGTTTTGATAATTTTAAAACCTATTAAGTTGGTTTGGTTTTGGTTTTGACCAATAACCGATCCAAACCGACCCATGAACGCCCCTAATTCTAATGTTGGCATCAAATCATGTAAATTTATTATAATTAAGTAATTTAATGTGGTGAGAATGCATTCTAATTAGTATGTGTTAATAATCTATGTGTAAAATACATATCGTGTATTATTTTTAGCTCTCAATACTAAACAGAACTTTATTTCATTCGATTTGGACTCGAAACATCAAAAACAAATTAAGTTTTTTATTTATCTTTTTTTCAGAGAACTCATTTTATTGTTTCATTAATGACTCAAATTCATGTTTTTAGTGGAGGTACAGGGTGTTTATCAACTGAGATAAAGTATCTAAATTTTAACTAATTTTAGATAAGTAAATTTTACCGCAAAAAAAAATCAAAATTAAAAGATTTGACCTTTCAAAATTCATTTGTCTCGTAAACTAAAAAAGCGAATAATATTTAAGTAGTTATGGTTCCTCATGAATAAATTAAATACGGAGTTCAATATTTTTCATAAACAGCACATTTCATTACAATAACACATATTCAATATAGGTCTACGTATAAAATGTGATTTGAAAATAATAAAATGTACATAGACCTTACCCTGCTACGAAGGTAGAGAGGTAACGACACAATTGATCATCATTGATTAGAAAAACTTACCTAATTAACATTTAAAAATTATTATAGTTAACTAATTAATTGTCCACTCATCTGTTCCAATTGACTGGACAGATTTTAGTTATAATATGATAGTGAAAAATTACAAAATAACAAAATTACAAGATTACAATTGAAAATAAAAATAAAGAAATAAATCTCTTTAGACTGAGGCGTGGATATGTCACTCTCTTTAAGGAGATTCAAGCCCACGGAAGCAAATGTTTTTCACCGGTCTAGCAGTAGTCCTCTT